CACCAAGAGCATAAGCAACAAAAGAAAAAACAGACTACATCAACACTAAAAACTTTGGTGCTGTAAACGATATCACCAAGAAAGTGAAAAGACAACCCACAGACTAGGATAAAATAACTGCAAATCATGTGTCTGATAAGGGACTTGGATATAAAATATATAAAGAAGTCTTACAGCTCAAAATAAAAGACAAATATCCCAATTTTAAAATGGATAACATATTTGGATAGATATTTCTCCAAAGAAGATATACAAGTGGCCACGAAGCACATGAAAAGATGCTCAACATCATCAGTCACCGAGAAAATGCAAATCAAACCACAGCGAGATACCACTTCATATCCACAAGGAAGGCTGTCAACAAAAAGACAGATAAAAAAGTGTTGGAGACCAAAAAGTAGAAACACCCTAAATGCCCATCAACTGAAGAATGGATAAACAAAATGTGATTCATATAATGGAATATTATTTGGCAACAAAGAGGAACAAAGCACTGATATATGTATGCTCCAACGTGGATAAGCCTTGAAAACACTAAGCTAAGTGAAAGAAGCCAGTCACAAAAGACCACATATTGTATGAGTCCACTTATATGAAATGTCTGGAATAGGCAAATCCACAGAGACAAGAGAGTAAGTGGCTGCCAGGGGCTGGGGGAGGGAAGAATTGAGAGTGACTGCTAATGAGTGTAGGGTTTCTTTTAGCGGGACAAAAATGTTCTAAAATTAGATTGTATGATGATTGTACAACCCTGTGACTAACAAATAAAAACCACTGAACTGTACATTTTAAATGGGTAAATTGTATGGTATGTGAATTGTATCTCAATAAAGCTGTTTTTTAAAAGGGCATACTAAGAAAGCAAAAAATCAAGCTACAGAAAGGGAGGAAATATCCATATTACATATATCTGACAAAGGATAGACTATATAAAGAACACTTCTAACCTGATAATATGATGATAAACAATCCAATAAAAATTGAGCAAAAAATCTGATCAGACATTTTACCAAAGAAGATATACAAATGGCCTATCAGGACATAAAAAGATGACTGACATGATTAATCATCAGAGAAATGCAAATTAAAACCACTATGAGGTACTGATACACACCCATTGAAATGGCTAAAACTAAAAAGACTGAAAGCATCGACGGCTAGCAAAAATGTAGAGAACAGGAACTTACATAGACTGCTGGCGAAAATGTAACATGGTAGAACCACTTTGGAAAACCATCTAACAGTTTCCTAAAAAGTTCAACATAACACCTACCACATGGCCCACTCATCCTACTTCTAGGTCCTCACTCAAGTAGACATCCGCACAAAGGTTTGTATGTGAATGTTCGCATAGCTTTATTCATAATAGCTCCCAAGCTGGAAACAACCCAAATGCCCATCAACAGGTAAGTGGATCAAATATGGAATACCCATAACAATGAAACGGCGCTCGGCAATAAGGAGGAACGGACTAATGATCCATCTACTACATGGATCAACGTCAATAATTATGATGACTGAAATAAGCCAGACACAAAAGTGCACACACCATATAATTCCATTTATATAATATTTTAGAAAATGTAAAATAATCTCTACTGAGTGCAAGTGGACCACTGGTTGCCTGAGGTCAGGGGTGAGGGAGGGAGGACTTCAAGAGGCCAAAAGGGATCTCTTGGGGTGATGGACATTTTCTGTTCTTGATTGTGGTGGTGGTCTCATGGGTAGGATTCTCTCACATTCATCACCATTTAAATGAGTGCAGTTAATTGTCTATAAATTAAACCTCAGTAAAGTTGATTTTAAAAAAGTAATGAGAGGGGCCAGCCCAGCGGCATAGTGGTAAAGTTCGCATGCTCTGCTTCGGCGGCCCAGGGTTCGCAGGTTCGGATCCCGGGGGTGGACATACACACCACTCAGCAAGCCATGCTGTGGCAGCGACCCACATACAAAATGGAGGAAGATTGGCACAGATGTTAGCTCAGGGCTAATCTTCTTCACCAAAAAAAAAAATTAAAAAAAAATAATGAGCCAATAAAAAAGGAATTTGTACAAGTTAACAGTTTGTAATTAGCATATCTAATATTTTTGTAAATAGTGTTTCTAAATTGATTAATGGTGCAGGTAAATAGTCTTTTCCTTAGGTACCTGAAACATTCATCACCTCTAGAGCTGGATTTTGTGATTAACGTGCCCGACGGACCTCATACAGTGCCCCCTAAAGGTTAATTCCAGCCCAACTCCTCTCTGAATTAATATAAATTCTGAATGAGTGTGGTCCATATTAAGGAGGTTTTGGGAAAATTGCAAAATAGAGGAGAAATCTGTGATACAAAACCTCAGTGAGAGAGTGGGGACAGCTGTGCAGACCACAACTTCCAAACTTTGTTCTGAGGTTCGATGCGTTCCAGACACTTTTATGTTCTCGTGCCAGCTGACCTTTACATAAACTTCTGCAGGTAAGTACACAATCAAGTTGCTTAGACAGGTACAATTTAAATCTACTTGAACTCTATCTCACAAAATGAAAGACCATCTGCAGAGACATACTGAGGAAATGATATAAATGTCCATAAAGAAAACAGTCTGTACTGAGGCCCTACTATTTATCACAGACCATTTCCCACACATTTTTCTCATTCAATACTCATTACAGCCCTCTAATGTAAATATTATTAACAGCCCCACTTTTTCCCATTAAGGAAACTGATACTGAGAGAGGCCCAGTGCTTTGCCCAAATTCACCTAGCTAGTAAGAGGCTGAGCTGAGATGTACATATTTGGGGTACTTTTAACTGATTTCTTGAGTTATGGTTCCACGAACAGAGAACTTAAGCAAGTGAGTACATACAGCTTTGGATTCAAGTATTAGTATTTTTTTCTGCATCACCAATAAAAAAAATGCACACATTTAAATACACGACCAACATGTTTGTGGGGCTTTTTCTTGTCACCCAAATGTCCCATTCTTCCTATTGGGCAGTCAATATTTGGTGGGAAAGCGGTTCACCTGGTTCTTTAAGGGCAAATGCTACCTCCAACAAAGGCACGTGAGCTCCTAGGGAGTATTTCATTTTTGGGGAGAGCTACACTCTCTAGGAAGAACCGGAACTGTGATAAATTACAAAACAAATGGAATCGCAAGGAGCTAGGAAAGGCTGCACTTAGGTAACTGGGAACCAGCAGTCAGAAACTGCTGAAACTGCCAGTCTCATGGCTGATAATAACACACAAATATGTCCATCTGCTAGTCACCACGTAGGATGTCATTCGCCAGAGAAAAATCATTCACATGCTTCCAGTTTGGAAACTTTTAAAAACGTTTGTATAGAAATGTCATAACCTACTAAAAAGATTTTAAAGATAAGGAAAGATTAAATAAGCGCATTGATGAACACTTATTTGCATCCTAAAAATGATCCCAAGTTAATGTGTTGTTTAAACATTCATAAGGAAAAAGAGAATAGATGAAAATTAAATTGCTAGCCTAACCCTCAATTGTTCTAAATACCTTTGGCAATCCGAAATCTGAAAATCATTAATAAATAATGAAATTTAAGTATATATTTTGACCTTCAACAAAAATCCTCTTTGGTCATTAAGCTCAATAATATGGCGTTCCAGAATTTATTTAACCCAAGTCATGGTTAAAGCGTAACACTTGATGGTGCTTAGGGCAAGCTACCCCAGGAGGCACCACTCTGGTATGCGGATTATTTTGAGTTGAAGACAATAAGGACTCAGAGAACTCAGGAAGAATATTTGAGTTTCCCCTCCCAAACTGCCTAAAGAATTTAAAACAAAAGATCTGTTTCAGGAAAGAGTTATTATCATGATGGCTGTAAAGATAACGTAGGATAGAGGTTACAATAGGAAAGGCACCAAGCCCCTTTTATCAAAAACTCTCTCTCTCCCTGACCACATTCTCTATAGATGACCCTGAGAAGAAGTGTCAGGCAAACATTTGCATTTCTATCTCCATGTGAGTTGTCTTCTTGCCCTCTGAGGTCCCAGACCACTACCCACCCCCAACACCTTCCTTGCCTTTAGCTACAATACTTAAGCGGGCAGCTTAGACAGAAGGACGAGTTGCTCATTTCTGAGTTTCTCCCATGTATACATGTTATTAAACTTGGTAATATTTTCTCCTGCTAACCTGTCTTGTTGATTATTTGGCCAGCCATAAGAACCTTAAGGAAAAGGGCAGAGGGAGATTCTCCCTCTCTCCCGACACACTCTTACGCAGTTTCCATCACTTAATTATAAGAAATTTAGTCCCAGGCTACTCCTAGGAATTACGTTACTTAGAGTGAATCATTTGTGGGGAGGCTAATTTCATCTTACATCGAAAAAAACACACATTCAAGGAAAGTTCCAGCTGGATATTCAGCTTTCTCATTTATTCCATCTTCTGGTAATCTCCAGAGTTACTGGAAGGCAGAAATAATCTAATGGGGGTGGTAATGTCATGGTAATGTCCAATTATTCTTTTCTGATGTCTGGTGTGAATTCCAGTTGGGTCACATGCGCATTTACTTATTTGCCAGCAGAAGAGTAGAAGGGGAAGGACAGAAAACACAGCGACCATCTGCTGCCCTCCCCCAGCCTCCCTCGAAAGGAAGACAAGGGTGGGAGTTTCTCCTAGAGACAAGAGCAGAGTGTACTTCGCAGTGGGCCCGCTGAAGTGTTTTCAGGAAGCCACATTTGGACCTTGCATATTTAAAAGCAAAAGAGACATCCTGAATAGAGGCACCAGGCAACAGCAGAATAGGATCCCATGGTGAGGGCTCTAGATTTTTAGTCTGGCCCGGCAGCTGCAGACTAGACCAAGCGAGGCCTGCTGACTCCTGTGTTTGCTCCACTGTTTCTAGATGGATCCATGCTTCTCCAATGTTCCACAGTTCTCACCACTCTCTATGTCTCACTTGGCCCACCTGGCCCTTTAGGCATTTGAGTTTGCATCCCCTGGTCTGCACTCATCAATTAAACATGGTACTTACAGCTGCATGACCAAGTACAGGTGATTTGGGCTTTCATAAATGTCTTCCAGGGCAACAATGTTTTCATGCTTAATCCTAAAAGAAAAAAAAAGCACACACAGAATAGTAAGTACAATTAGACATGACAACTTTTAAAAACTTTAAAAACATCATTATAGCAAAAAAGTTCCAAGACAGAAGCCAAACTCCTTAACGTGACATTTAAGACTCTTCCCAATCTTGTCCCCAAACTTTTCCCCAGACCCATTTCCCCTACTCTCTGCTCCCCTTTATTCCTGAGGCTCTATACTCCACAATGTAGCAATACTGGATTAACTGTTGTCGCTTCATGTATATCCCAGCCTCCTTGCATATATTCATGTGAATCCCAGGAATGGGCCAAAACTAAAAATCCTATTGTCTTTCAGGGCCAAACTCAAATGGCTGAGCCCCCATGGGGAATTTAATTGCTCCCTCTTCTGTAGACTCACAATGGCCATCACAGACTGGCCTGAACAGTTCATTGTGTGCAAATCCACTCCTGTAACAGGCTAGATGTTCCAAGCAACGGCTTCATTATCACGTTCATGACTCCAGTGTAAGCAAAGGAAAATCAGACTAACCCCCTCATTGGGGTTCTAGTCACCACCACCCCCCAAAGTCAATTCAGTACCCCAAGCGGACTAGACTGATGCCACTCAAAGTGTGGTTCCCAAACAGCCAGCACCAGCATTTCCCGGGAGCTTGTTAGAAATGCAAATTCTAGGCCGGCCCAGTGGTGTAGTGGTTAAGTTCACGCCATCCGCTTTGGTGGCCCAGGGTTTGCAGGTTCTGATTTCGGGCACGGACCTATGCACCGCTCATCAAGCCATGCTGTGGCAGCATCCCACATACAAAAAATAGAGGAAGATGGGCACAGACGTTAGCTCAGGACGAATCTTCTTCACCAAAAAGAGGAAGGTTGGCAACAGATGTTAGCTCACAGCCAATCTTCCTCACCAAAGAAAAAAAAAAGAAATGCAAATTGTCAGGCACTACCCTGGTCAGACAGAATCAGAATCCCTGAGGGCAAGGCCCAGAAATCTGTTTTAATAAGATCCTCAGATGATCTGTATGCACAAAGCAGAGCCGGAGAAATTCTGTAACAGACCAGTGCTTCTCAAACTTCAGTGGGTACACGAATCACCTGGGATTCTGATTGCACTGCACATTCTGATGCAGTGGGTCCAGGGCAGGGCCAGAGAGTCTCCATTTCTCACAAGCTCCCAGAAGATGCTGATGCTCCTGGTCTGTGGACCACACTCTGAGCAGCAAAGTCCTAACAGAACCTAGGGAGAAGGAAACAGCTTAACGCTAGCCCCTAGAACTCCTCATTAAGAGTCGCACCTGCTCAGAATGTAAGGCTTGATATTTATTTAAAGCATTTGAGAGGAGAACTATTTCATTACTCTATGAACTAATTAGCTCTTACCACAAGCTTTTCACTGAAATGACAGCTGAACCACCTAAAAGCAAGCATTTAACGTGCAGATTCCTGTAAACCCTTGAAAGCAGGGACTACATCATGCTCATTGTTTCCCCCCTAACCTAGCATCGATCTGCTTGATAAATGCCTGCTGAATGACTGAATGATATTTAAAAGGTGTTGCTATTAAACAGCACGAGTCATTATTTAGTTAGGGAAAATGGAGGCAATTTCCCTAAGTGTGAAATGTCTTCCCCTCAAAAAGAAGTTTATATGGTGGATATATCTTCCCTCTGAGCAGATGAAAGAGATCAAAACAGTTTCTCAGAGTGGTAATGTTTGCTTTGATTTCTCAGCTCTTATTAGTCACTGCAGTTGACTTGTAGGAGCTGAGATGATAGATTACATTAAATTCACATTTCACCCGATTTCAACGCACAGAGCCTAATTATTTATTTGTTAGCAGTGGTTACTGTGATATCTGAGCAGAATATCAGCGAACCAAGTAAATATGCAACCAAGGAAACCAAGAGAGATTAATTTGGAACTGCCAAGATTCTAGACCTTTGTGGAATTATCATTATTGTATATACTTGAAAGAATATGACCACAAAAAGTATACAGGGTATGGATTTTCTTTTTTTTCAATTTTTAGAAGTTTTCCATTGGAATCTATTACATGGGCACAAATATTTTCTTTCAGTCATGTTAATTTGGGGGTTAATTAAAGCTTAGATTGATGGGAAAATGAAAGGAATGGGGTTTATAGGTAGAATTGCCAGATAAAATGCAGGGCACCCCGTTGTGTTTAATTCTAGATAAACAATGAATACTTTTTTAGTATAAGTATGTCCCAAATATTGCATTGCTGTTTATCTGAAAGTCACATGTGACTGGGCACTCTGCATTTTCATGTGCTAAATCTGGCCACCCTAGTGATGTGAATCACAGTCAATGAGCCTCTAAACTGGGCTTAGAGAGTTGTACCTGCAGCCCTAGCTGCCCTCCAAGGTTGAGCCAAGAAGGCTGTTTGAGGCCTGGAGGACAGCCATTAACAGAGATTCAATTGTATACAAAGAATCAACTATGCGCAAAGCACTTGCCCAGCCAAAGTAGGAGGCTCTAATAAGTTAAGAATATAATCCCTTCTTTGGATGCAAGGGAGAGAGAAATTAAAGTCTACTTAACCTGCCATGTCTCACATGAGTTCTCACAGTGGCTGGAATGAGACTTCTACTGACTATTCCTCTTAACTAATGAATTAAGCAATCAAGCAATTGTCATTTACTGAGTTTCTGCCATGTGTCTGGTCTGGGAGAATACAAGAAAAATATAAAATAAGATTTTGCCCTCAAAACGCTTATCACCTTGATGGAGAGACCCCTGAAGCAATTAGGAAAGAATTAAATGCTAAACTCTAGAAGTGGCGTTAAGTTCAGAGAAGGCAAGGCCTCGTATGGGTCCGAGTTAGGGCTAAGGCCTCAAGAAAATGATGGCGGTCGAGCTGGGATGGGTAATGTTTGAATAAGCATACTTTAGAAATTTCAAAGGAATCCTAAAATGGCCTCTTAAATGTGTTCTAAGAAAAGTGGTTTAATTAACTTGTAAACGTTAGAACGTCATGGAAGAAAATATTCTGGCCTCCCACATCTGTTCTCAGGTACTTCATTCCACCCTCAGATTCTTTAGATATACAAAAATTGAAGTTAAAATTTTAACATTATTTTAGTACCTAGATTATCTTCACAAAATGCCACGTGAGTACCCATGCACACATCTCTGGGCGCCCACCACATACCAGACCCAGCACTAGGAATCACAAGGGAGATATCTCAGCCTTTGGGGAGTTCACACAGGTGGGTATCTGGCTGCAGCTAGGATACTTCCCAGGCAGCCTTTCTTATATTTACCAGAAATCAGCCTCCTCGTAACGAGCAGTGACTCCTGGGAGCAACAGAGAGCATGCTTACCCCTTCTTCTTATATATCCCGCAAATATTTGAGAGATAAGTCTCCACTTGGTCTTATCTTCTGATTGTCAACCAATCCTCCTATAACAGGGTTTATTTTCTTCTCATCATATTATTGTCACTCCTGTTTGTCCAGACTGTGGTATTCAGAACTGAAAGTAATGATCCCAGGGTAAAATACAGCATCACAAATAGGGTATTAAATACTAGAGTAAAACTCTTAACCGTCATGAGCTGGATATTACACTTTTGCAAATAAAGCGTAACAAGAGGTTCGTTTTTTTTTTTTAAGCAGCTACACAAGTGTTGGCATATAAGAAATATAAGTTCCAAGGAGGTAGGGATTTTTTGACTATTTTGTTCACCACTGTCTCCCCAGTGCCAAGAAAAGTGCACAGCAGGTAATACTTTCAATACATATTTGTTGAATGAATGAACGAACAGAAGAATATTAAGCTTAGGGTCAATTAAATGACCAGATTATTTTTACCTGAACTTCTATCAAATAAGATCTCCTTTCTTACTCAGTCTTGATCTTTTGAGCTTAAAGTCTTCACCTTTAGCTTCATTAAATTCAATCTTTTTGGGTTCCATGCAATGCTTCTGATGATCAGGAATATTCTGAATTTTTATTCTCTTGTCTATTATATTTACTATCCCTCTCAACTTAGGGCCATCTGCATATTTGGTTGGTACACAACCATCCCATATGTCTTCACTGAAATTCCTACTTAAAGTCTTAACTGAGAAGGATATATGTCAGAGCTCCCTGGTATTCCACCAGAGACCCCCATCAACATAACCATGACATTAACCAGCTGGCTTCAATTGCTGTCAAGTTGCAAACCCAGCAGTACTATCATCTAGCCCGTATTTTACCATCCTAGCCATAAGCAGACAATTAGATTCTTTGCTGAAATGGCATTCCTCAGTTTTACACGCCACATAATACCTTTTAAAAGGGAAATGGATGTTTGGGAAGATTCGTTCTTAGTAAACCCATGGTGGCTCCTAGCAACCACTACAGTCTTTACTAAATGATCACAAACCATCTGCTTAATTTACTCTTCCAGAATTTTTCTGTGCATTGAAGACAAACTTCCCAGTCATATAGCTCATATTCTATCTTTTTTTTATGTTTGGAAAATTGGCCAACATCTCTTACATTGTTTTCGCAAACATTTCAACTCTGACTCTTTGTGATAAGTGCAATTTCCTCAGTCCCCTGGGATGTAACACATCTAAATCTAGTGATGAACTAATTTTATAACTTTCTTTAGGCCCTACTTACAAGGCTGTTTTATATATATCATTTATTGAGTGTTAACTATGTGTCAACACAGTACTAAGTATTTTTAATTATTTCATTTAATGCAATAATCCTATGGAGTAGGTCTTATTCTCCTCATTTTTAAAAGAGGAAAACTAATACTTCAAGAGGTTAAGTAAGTATTCCAAGGTCATACAACTCATCACTGGAATTGTTGAGGTTCTATCTCCCAAACCCATGTTCTACCACTTATGCTATAACTTCATATTAACTAAGTTATAAGGAGAATATCGAAGAGCTTAAATAATTGAGTTATTTGTATAAAATTATAACACCTAAAGTTAAGGTATTAAATTTCATAACAATATAATATCTACTTCCAGAGGTAGAGA